CGAACTGTCTACGGGATTACTTGAAATTAGCAAATGGCTCCAACGCGATGCTCTTGTGTCTTCCTTTGACTAGAGCTTGTTTTCAAGTGTCTCTAATGCAGGCGGGGGAGATGGGCCGGAGACTACCGAGGAGAGGGGGAAAGGGCGGTTCTGGACAACCTGGGGTCTGGCTAGCTTTACTTAAGGGGATGAGCACAGGGCTGAGTTCTTCTGCCTCCAACCCTCCATCTGTAAAATGGGCCTAGCGCACAGTGTGCATGCTACCCACGTGTCAAGGTCTGTGCTTTGAAGGTAGAAATTCCTTCGGGTATTGCTGCTTATTAGGTTTATTCGTCCAAGGTTAAGCAGGCCTTTAAGGTCACTTTGATATTTTGTGCCCTTTTCCCCTCTTATTCTTTTAAATTTATTCCCTCTTAAGTGCACCAAGATGTCAAGATACACCAGTTCATGCAGCATTCACATGTGCCAATCTCCAACATTTGGTTGTACCTGGGGAAGCGGGGAGGTTTGGGTGAACCGTTATGCGTTTCAAACGAAATGATGTGAAACCTTTAGTTCTGACCTTGTTTTCTGTGAGCGCCCCACAGGGTGTCAAGTCTCCCCCCAGTAATGGGGACACTTCACCTGGAGGTCCCGGGAAGACTCCCAGGTGCTTGGGGCAGCAAAGGACTAGGTCTCAAGGGTGCAAGTTCACACCACTTTTCTGTAGTTTCAAGAATTTGTTGCTCTGCAGTTGGGTGCAATATCCGGGTCCAATGCAGACTGTGTGGCGGTTTAGCCCTTCCAGACAGTGTGCCGGGGCTCTTTCAGTCGTGCCAAGCACAGTTGTGGGTCCCGCGAACAGAGCTCTGGATGTGCAAAGGCATGGGGAAGCCTAAGTTTCTCCCAGGCTGTAACCCAGAGCCAAAGCCATGTGCAGCGGGAGCTGTCTGTACAGTCTGGGTTTGTACAGTGCCCAACGCGGGGGGCCTGGCATAGGAGGGGTGCAGTTAGGTGCTATTCTTGTGCAAGCAGCTAAGAACAAAATAACCCTCTGTTGGCAGCCCGGTCCTCAGCAATGACATGCGAGGTGCCTTTCTCCTTCTCCTGTGGTGCGTTCCAATGTCAGAAGGGGAATTACCCTCCTCGGATCAATAGTGAAACCATTAAAATGCACCTTTAAATTTATATTCGTGACGCTGCCGCGTTCATCACCCCACTGGCAGAGCTTTTTATAACCTGTCCGTCTCTTTTTGGAGAGAGAGAAGCTTCTCTGAGACCTCGGTGTCCTGTCACTGTCTCTGCTAGGCACGACAGGAGCTGGAAGAGGACTGGCTTGCTCATCTTAAGGACTCATTAAAGATGTCTATAGCAGGAGAGCTGCCCAGGTGCAAAGGCCTTGCAATGATAGTTTCCCCCAGCTTTCCAGCCATGTCTGAACTTGGACGTTGCATTACTATAGTTATCTTGTTGTTAGGGTGGAAAAAATGCCGGAGGTAGTTGGACCCCTAGCCTCAAGGGGATTTTTATTGCTTACTTTATAGTACACCCCTCTTATACTGCTGCCTAACTTTGAAATCCCTCCTCAGTACCTTGGACTATCATGATACCTATAAGATATGAGTCCAATCAAACAGCAGGATGAGTACAGCTAGCAGTTGTTGCCTCTCCCCTGCTCTACCTTGGCAGACCATTACCTTTCTTGACTGCCTGTTGTGAAGTCCTAGGTGATCACCTTTCTCCAGTGATGGGCTTTGCTCCAATTAAGCACCTTAACAAGGCTCCAATCTCCTCCCCAGACCTCTGGCACACTCCTCCCGCTGCCCCATCTCTCCTTTCACCTACCAGCAGGATGGTATCTCTAGCTGTCGAGGCCGAGACTGCTTTTTAATCATTTCTGATCTGCCTGAGGTCTGGGTTTCACTTCCACCCAGCAGAAGAAATCAATAATGTTTAAATTATTCAATTAAAAAAAGTGTTGGCTGCCAGTTTCTCTTCCTCAACTAAGCAGCTATCTCCTATAGGAAAGAAGCAGCTGCTTTGTGTGTCAGGCAAGGGGGTGCTTTTAGGAACGGTGCCTTTGATGCAGCAGAAGGACCTGCCCTGCTGCGGGCTTGTTGGT